TTACTCGCGGCACGTGACGTACAAATACATATAGATACGTGTACTGAGACGCCCGCATCTATTTATAACGGCGATGAATCGCGGGGCGATTGACCGCGTGACCTTGACTTCCGGTTGATCCGACTGTCCTCCCTCTCTCTCCCTTCCTTCCTCCTGGGAATTTTAGTGTGACTCGCGAGATTTCCCGAAGGCATTTGGACACCTACTAATTTCACCCTTCGAAGGGGAGGGGAAATCGGTAACGATCGGATAACGATCTCTCGCGAACGACGCGGAATAATTTCTGCGAAGCAGTTTTGATTTAAGATTATTTTTTTTCAGCTGCAACTTATTTCACTTTACGCACTAATCAGATTTAATCAGATGATATATCCAACTTGCAAATCATATCAAAAGGAAATGAGAGAAAAATTGGAAGGAAGTGCAAAAGGAAATATCAGAAGCTATAAAACAAACCAATTCTATAGGCATAGCTTGATGGAACACAAAACGACAGATAAAAAATATTGATAAGTTAAAGGAACGTATTTAGAACGAATTCTCGATATATTAAAGCCATTAAACTTGGAGATGAGTTTATCATTAATCTTATAAAAATTAAATCATGTAGCAATAATAAATAATCTCATAGACGAGTAAAAAATATTAATACTCAGCATTTATCAAGTAATAATCTCTTGCGAATGACATCAAGTAATTTCTACATTTTTATATTTTTTTCAGCTGCAATTTATTTTATTTTATGCACTCCTAATCAGATATAATCAACTTGCAAGTATATCATCGCATGAAAAAGGAGATACAAGGAAAATTGAAAAAAACGCAAAGAGAAACTATCTAAAAGCTATAAAACAAACATATTTTATGAGTATAACTTGATGGAATACAAAAGAACGAATGAAAAAATATGGATAAAATTAAGGGAACAGGTTTAACAGAAATTTTCGACACATCGAAACCATTAAACTTAGATAAGTTAATCATTAATTTTCTAATAATTAGATCTTGCAGCGTAATATTAATTTCATAAAATTCGATAGACACGTGAAAATCTCTGCGTTTATTCGCGATCGCAAGAATTTATGTACATATTTTTTTCGTATTTAAGAGACGTTACTGGATCTGCGTTTAATGGAAAGGGACGACGACCCAATCTTAATCTCGCGATTTCGTTATTTACATCAAACGATCCGCCGCTAATATGACTCTGTTTAGCTCGTCGTTCCGCTGCCTCGCGCACGCTGCCTCCTTTTTCCTCGCCCCGTCTCTTTCCTCCTTTTTTCTTCTTTTTTTTCTCAATCGCTCGGAAACCTGTTCGCACGAGTAGCAGCAACGGAATGTCCGAGTGCTGTTCGCTCTCATCTCGGGCCGATCGAACCGGTGAGATCGTTCGTTCTATGCGACGGTTTCGCTTAGATTTTCACACGTTTCCATCCACTGTGCCTCAAACGTGAGAAGTTTAGCTCTTTTTTTCCCTAAAAGCACTAGTAAATAAAAATAATTAGAGAATATATTAATAGGATAATAACAATAATAATAATATATAAATGAAACCGATGCAAAATTGCATCTACCATGCAAATTATTCAGATATTGATAGTATTTCAATTTTAGTGGAGCAAGATGCTAATTATATATCCGGATAAGAAAGAAGAGAGAAAAAGGGAGAGAGAGAGAGAGAGAGAGAGAAATATGATGAGCTGGGAAATATCCTTGTTAGAAATCCTCTTAAGGTTGACTGACTAATAGATTTAGCTGACTCAGGTTTTTTGCGGACAATCTCAGCCACGTAAAGCAGCTTTCAGTTTCGCAATTAAACTCGCACAAAAATGTATTTCATGTTCTTGTCGATATTAATTAAAATAGGTGAAGAGGTGAGAGAGAGAGAGAGAGAGAGAGAAAGAGAGAACTTGTAGAAGATTCGCAGAGGAGGATATCGAGGAATGAAGGCTAACGACCTTGACCTTGTCTGTAGCGTGTGGGGCTGTGTGATGAAGAGAGAAAGAGAGAGAAATGGAGGGGGGCAGGGGGAGAAGAGAGAGAATACGAAAGTAGAAACACGAGAAAAGACATCGGTCAAAACCGACTGGCCTGCTTTCTTGCGCGTCTCGACGCGATGAGAACGAATGAATCCAGGTAAGCGACGAGACGGAGGCCCGGGGCCCCGATGATGACTAACAATAAGACGGCGGCGACATCGGGCGTCCTCGATGGAGCCCCCGCAAACGACCGCGTTGCGACATATCGCGACGCATGGTGCATCGCTTAACAGGATTCTAGAAGAGAGAGAGAGAAGGAGAAGGACTACGTCTATGGCACAACATATGTACAGGGTGTTCCACAAGTATAGCCGACGCACAAAACTTTCTAAAGGAATTATCCTCCTCGATATCCACTAAAATTTTTTCGACGTATAATTGATATAATCTGATATGTATAACGAGATATATATCACGTTATCGAATCACCAAAATGTCCAGAAATATTATACCTTGTGGGAATAAAAATTACGGAGGAATTGGAAGAGAAGTTTCACCGTTCTTGCTTGTACATCTCTCAAGAGCTCGCCTTTATTGTTTCATCATTCTTTCTTCTCCGGGTTTCCTCAGTCGCAAAATTTAATTTCGCTGCAATCTACGAGGAACAAATTCCTCAAATATATATATCTCGCTGTTTTTGCGAGACTCGGTGTTTTCCGTTCTTCCAAGCGAGGCAAACACGCGTTCGTGCAATTGCAGTGTCAATATTGATGTTTTCGCGATGCGATAAGCTCGATCGTAACCGTCTAAACGTAATGAACCTGAGAGAATAATAATTAATGGCGAGAGATTGCGTTCATATGGGCGTGTATCATTTATAATTTATGTACATAGCTATAGATTTCTCTTTATTTACATATTATATCGTTTAATATAAAATATGACATTCCAAAGATCTTGTTTGAATAAACAATAATTACTCTCTCTCTTTCTTTCTCTCTCGTAAAATTAAATAAGATTGAAAAATGTTTCTCGTTTGTTTCTCTTCCTGGAGAAATCTTATTAATTGGAATCGATGTATTGCAGGAGAAATATCCACGTCGATCCCGACGACGTTCCTCGACGACGCGCAGAGGCAGAGAGCTCGTCAATGAGACGCTCGTGAGTCGACGACCGCGAGAGCGAGAGCGAGAGGAGCGGGACGTCGCGACGAGGGATGCTGTCCGCACCGCGTCGCTGGGAAAAAGAGAGAAAATCGCGATGTGCGTGAGAGGGCGAGGGGAAATCCAGCCCGCCGACTCCTGACCTCCAAGAGGAGTAGGAGACGTGAGCGAGGTCGTTCCGCAATCGATCGATAAATGCGCTTTTGCCTCCTGCGACCGAGGTGCGAAGGAACTTGGCGTACTGAGAGAAAGAGAGAGAGAGAGAGAGAGCGAGAGCGAGAGCAAGGAAACGCCAAGTAGAAAAGGAGAAAGTGGCAAGGAGGGGACGCCAGAAACCGCCCTTATTATTTAAATAATTGCTCCCTTTCTATATTTGTTATTAATTTAGTAACTTTTGATAAATTAAAAAAATATATATAATTTGTATAGAAAGAGAAAGAGAGAAATTATCTGCCTCATTCGATTTTTTATGTAAATTCCTGTTCTCTAAAAGGACCTGGAGCGTGATATCCTTCATCTTTTCTTGATTAGAAATGGTGAAGTCTCGTGATATATATTTATAGGTCCTTTTCTAATATCTACGCTTGCAAATTTCCTCTTTGAACAGTCGCGTAAAATTCTGCCAGGTACTGTGAAGTCACGTAATTTTTCGGTGAGCACCCCTGTAGAGAAAGGCGAAAGGACCGGAACAATCGATCCTTCGGCCTGCGAAAAGAGAGCGCGAGAGCTGCTTCTTCCTCTCGTTCTCTTCGTCTCTCTTTCCATGTCTCTTTCCGCTGTCTCGTCTCTTCTGCCCAACGTCCCGTTCTTCAGGTAACCAATCGCGAAGATCCGGAGACTCTCCAGAAAAAGTTGTAATCGTGAAAATGAACGAACAAGCAATTATAGAGAGATTAAAGTTGAAAAAGTGCATCTTTATCATCTCGACGAAATGTCGGAATAAGGACGCTTCATCGTCACATTTTTTTTTACGCTCTAATAAAAATTCTTATACAAATTCTTTCATTTTCATTGTACATATTTAACCGACTCGCCTAAGTATCTCTACATAAGCATCGAATATAAGTAAAAAAAAAAAGCTTCATGTCTCGTAGAGCAAATGAACGAGCGAGAGGATGAGCCATCCCGATCTTCTCATCTTTACGTATCTCGTCAATTTATTCTAGCAATTCCAGTCCCTTTATTAGCATCGACGTGTCATCGTCTAGCGTCCTCGTGACGCCTCGATTATCACATCCTTCGCGATACGAGGTGTTCGAAAATCCCAAACATCTCGATCTCGAGGACAGAGCCTTTTCTCTCCCCCCCTCTTACGCTTGAAATACAAACGAAAGCGGACATTGGACATGACGCTTCTCATTCCCAAGTGTAAATAATCCGCGCTGCGTTTCGTCCCGAATAGTACGAGACTCGTTTGGAGAGCGATCGTAATGAATGTCCTCCTCTCTCTCTCTCTCTCTCTCTCTCTCTCTCTCTCTCTCTCTCTCTCTCTCTCTCTCTCTCGCTCTTCCTCTTTCCCCCTCCTTCCACTCGCCGCCACCGCGGCGCTCCGCGCGCTTACACGGCTGCCAACCGCAGCGCGCGAAACTCGTCCATCCGCCGCGTCACCGACTCCCTCCCTCCCGCCGCGCCGCCCCCCCACTCCAGCCGCCAGTCATCGCATTGCAGCGGCGGCCGCCGCCAACGTCGCGCGTCGTCGCGCCCTCTCTCTCGCTCGCGCGGCCGCCGTCTCCCTCCCTCCTTCGCGCCCGCGCGCACGCGCGCGTGTGTTGAGTGGCGGCAACGCAGACAGGCGCGGCCGCCGGAGCCCCAGCGGCGGGTCGGTGGCGCGGGCGCCGGCAGCGCCGCCCGGCGGCGACTCCCCTCAGTTTCGGGCAAGATGGGCGCACCTCGCCGGGCAGTAGCTTAGTCTCTACCTACAAGACAACACACACACTAAATGTTCCCTTATAGTAACAATTAACCAATTGTATATTAATCTTATTTAAGGGAAACACACGCGAGGGGGAAGAGAGACACGCGCGTACACACACACACACAGCCAGACACACGTAGGACGCCGTATCGAGACACACGCGAGCTCTATTTTTGTAATTATCCGCGCCGAGTGAAATCCGAGTGTAGTGTGCTCTCGCCGTTGTAATTTCTACGACCGTTGAAAGACGAGAGAGAGAAAGAGAGAGGAGTCGGATCGCCCGTGTACCTTGCATACGCGACTCGCTGCTTCCGTGTGAGTGTTCCGAGAAGAGCAACGAGTGCTGGAAATACGCCGAGGGAGGAGGACATCATCGTCAAAAGGTACGGGAGCCGAGTAAGAGGAGAACAGGCGACGAGAGAGAGACGGGAGAAGAGAGAAGAGGAGCGGCCGTTGCACATACGTGTGTATATATATACATATATATACACACATATGTGCGTACGTGTGCGAGAGGCAAGCAGAGCGCTCAGCTAGACGTGCGTTCGTTGTCGTCCAGGTGTTACCGGACACCCGGGTTGGCTCCCTCCGGCGAGGGAACGAGCGAGGATCGACGCGGCCCGCCTCCCCCATCGCTCGACGAGCATCGTCGTCATCGTCGTCGTCATCGTCGTCGTCAACGTCAACGTTTGCAGCGGCGAGCTTTCCTTGACGCGGTGCAGTGTCGTCAACGGCGCCGTTAGTCTCTGTTTCGCGGCGCAGCGTGCGCTGTCTCTCTCTCTCTTTCTCTCGCTTCCTTTTTTCCCTCTCTCTCTCTCTCTCTCTTTCTCGCTCGTCGCCCGAGACACTCGTCGGGTGTGTGCGGTGCGTGCGTGGTGCGTTTTTCATACGTGTGGTGCAGGAGGGAGATTTAACAACGACGACGACGAGGCCGTTGCGAGAGACGTGGAGCCGGTGCTGCGCGTATTATCGGTAGTTTACAACAGCGCTGGCGGTGCAGTAAGTGGTGAAAAAAGAAAAAAAAAGTGCGATTGCCGAGCAGTACGACACACCCTCCCGACATCCGTCGTTGGCCTCTCTCTATTTCTCTCTCTCTCTCTCTTGCTCCCCCCTCCCTCCTCGCACTTACAGAATCGCCAACGTACGCGCGCTCTCCCCGTCTGCCCCCCCTCCCCCCTGCCGCCCGAGTCCTTTCTACTCGCGTCTCTTTCCATTCTCGATATCTCGATTGATCCCCGGTCGTTGGATCTTTGACGTTGATGACGTCGACGACGGGTGGCCCGCGGTTGCGTGAAGTACCGGTGGTACAGAGTACGTCGGTCGTGCCCTGTCCACCCCCTCCTTCGCCGCCATTGGGCCATCCCTCGTCGTCGTCGTTCTCGCCCCGGTGTTCTTACGCTACTTGATCGCCGGACACGCGCGCGTGCTACTCTCTCTCTCTCTCTTTCTCTCTTTTTCCCCGCGTTCGTCTCTCCTTCCGCTTCCTCGCGCTTCCCGTCCCCCGCGACCGTTCGAGAGAGCGCGAATCCGCGTCTAGTGATCCCGTCGGTGCGTGCGTGCGTGCGTGCATGCGTGCTTGCTCGCGTACGTAGCCGATACGTGCGAGCGAGCGCGCTTACGGGGTGTCTTGCTTTCTCTGCTCAGTTGGTTCTTGGATCAGTGTCGCCGGTGAAGAGAGAGAGGAGGAGACTCTTGGTGCGGACGAGAGGAACGGCGAACAGGGAAGAGGAGGAGGGGGAGGAGGAGGTGAAGGAACCGAAGTGGCGGCGCTAAAGCGACCGGTTGACGGTGGTTTTTAGGCTGCGCGCCGGCGTGCGTTATTGTTATTATTGTTATCGTCGTCGCGACTGCAGCTGTGCATCATCGTCCACTCGACGGGCGACGAACGTCGGACACCGGGACGACGCAACCACCCGGCCGCTATCATGTCTGTGAGGATGGAAAACGTGGCCGCGCGGAAGATCAATTATAAAATGATGGTGAGTACGCTCGTGTGTGCATGGCATCGGCGTATGTGTGCGCGCGCGCACACATACGCGTATTCTCGCTTCGTCCCTCTCCGGCCGCTCGACGGCGGCTGCGCAGTCGCGCGCGACTCGCCGCTAATCTCGCGCACGACTCGCCGCTAACCTCGCGCACGACTCGCCGCTGACTTCGCGCAGCTCCGTCGTGCGCGCGAGCGCGGGTTAACGTGGCGTGCGACGAGTCTGGACGCCGCGTCCGCGCTCTATCTCTCTTTCTCTCTCTCTCTCTTATTCTTCATTCTTTCTCGTGCATTTTTTTCCCGTGAAAAACAGACGCGAAATTTAGAATCCTTTCGTTTCAACAAACTTCGCTCTCTCTCTCTCTCATCTCGTTCTTTATCTTTTCTCGTGCATTTTTTCCCGTGAAAGAAAGAATCTTTTCGACAAATTCTCTTTCGTCTCTTTTCCCGAATATCCTCGTTTGATCGCGATACCTCGAGAAAGACGAACCTAACCTAACTTCGAATTCCCGTTTCTCCGCGAGCCACCATGTTCGCGGAAGAGAGGAGAGCATCGGGGAACGCATGCGCGCGCGTATACGCACGTCGCGGAAAAGCCATGGTGAGTTTTAATCATGGGGGCGGCCGACAACGGTTCGCGGAACCGCCGGTGTAGTTTGACAGTTTGCCGCGGGGCGTCTGGCTGCTGCCCCACCCAGAGTCGTCTCTCTCTCTCTCTCTCTTTCTCTTTATCTCCCCCTCTCCTCCACCCGCTCCGCGCCTCTTTCGACCGTCTCATCGTGCCTGTCGTAACCCCCTTCCTCCCCTCGCCCCTTTCTGTCTGTTCTCTCCTCTCTCTCTCTCTCTCTCTTTCTCTTTCTCTTTGCCTCTCTCTCGTTGCACGCCACAAACACTCGTCTCGAGTCGCCTTTCGGCCGCATATTTTCCCTCTTCTTCGCTCCCGCGTTAGTTTGGTGGGATTTGCGAGATGCCGACATACGGTCCTTTTGCGACCGCGGTAAATATTGGACGTAAAAATGCTGAAAAATTGTAGAAACCGCTTCGAGGCTCTCTTTTTAACGGTACCTTAATTTAATGCGCTACCTTAAATATATCTTGAAACAATGAGCTTGGTATTTTCAAAGCGCATATTGTTCTCGTTGATCAAAAGGTTTATGCTACCTCTCTGCCAAATCTCACCAGATTAGCGCAAGAGTAATAAATTTATGACTCGTGACTGGTCCCATAAAAGTGGAAGATTCTTCGGTCAAAATGTGTTGTTCCCCGATTATTACGTTCATTGCTAAAATAGAGATGCAAAATTTGTCCCAAAATTTTCAACAATCTATCGCATAAATTGGAATATTACGCGTCTTGAAGGGTTAATCCTTAAATCAAAACATTTCATGTAAATTTAACGATATATATTTGTACTAATAAATATGTAATAATTAATTATTGTACAATTAATGTACAATTTTTTGAAATTTAATGGCAGTTATAAGCTTGTCAATCATTTAATAAAAATAAATGTATCTTTGCAATATGTAAATTAGTTAAAAAAAAAAACTATTTTCGTTCATTGCAAGAAATAAAAAATAAATAAATTAAGAATCGTCTCAGGAGGGAAAAAGGCTTTTTAACTGGACATATTTTCCAATTTATGTTGAGATTTAAGGAGTAATATAATCGATCGATCAAATACATCTATTTTCTTTTTCCATCTTTTATCAATAGATATGTAGATCTCTCAGAGATGACAAGATTAACAAGATCTTAGCAATGCTAGGTATGCGGTACGTTGTGACATTTCGAAAATGTTAGACGCAATATTTGTGTAACAAGGTAATTTCAAAGTGAACATTAAGTCATAATGAAGTGCGAACAAGACGAATTGGAAAGGTTGTCTTTAGAAAGGTACGCGGCCTATGTTAGATGAGAGTAGAAATTCGGTGGCGGATAGTAACGTGTTGCAAGTTGCAACAGTGTTCTCTCCGTGTGTGCTAATTTTAGCTCGGAACCTGAGAAGAGCCGAATGCTAGAAATTCGATGGGCACGAGTTCGCCATTCCTGCTGACCCAAAGGGGAATCCTAAGATCCGTGTGACTAATGCATGTCGATCTTAAGGAGAAAAGTTTCTAGGAATTTTAATCGAAATCTCATTAAATTTTTGTCGATAAAATATGTTAAACAATTATAATTATTTTTTATTAATTCATTTATTCATTGAATTTTTAATTAATTATTTATTCATTGTCAATTATAATTATAATTATTTTTTTTTTAATTATTCATTGAAGTCTCTAGAGAGATATTTTTTTAAATTAAATAATGACTGATAAAGTTTAATAACGATATCAATACCTTATTACATTTATACAAAATTTATACGCATTCTGTCAACCGAATAAGATGCAAGATTAAAATTCTTGATCGTCATGCTTTATCCTTTCGGCTAAATACACTATGTCACCCCTCACTTAAATACAGTCGTGGTCGTCTGAGGAAAGGTTATCGCGCGCGATGAACAGAGTTCAAGCAACTCCATCGTGATCTGCCGAGAGCAGTCATCGTACAAAACAGCTGTTCGTTTTTCGCGACGAGCTGTCCCGATTTAGATTTCTTTTATGAGCGCATAAAAATGCGACGTCTCTCTCGCCACGTGATAATTGGGCGATTCTTATATACACAGATATGACGATAACTTGATGTTATCGTTATATTTCTTAAAGGCATATCACGCGTATTAAACATTCTAATCTTTAAGTGGAGATAATTTAGATAAATATGAATCCTACTGTAAAATAAGTAATGTAAAATAATATTTTTAATAAGTAATAAATAATATAAATAAATTAAGATATAATTATATATCTTAATATTACTAAATATATATTATTTTAATATTATTAAATAATATACTTTAATATCTCCAAATTAAAACGAATACGTACGAATACGCTAAGAGATAAATATAACAAAAATAGAAAAAAAATTATAATATTCAGATATTATAATATTCAAAAATTAAAAAATTCAGAAGAAAATTATAATATTCACATATTATGCATATATATATATATATATATATATATATATATATATATATAAATTAAGACTAACATGTGCGAATAATAATAATTAATAATAATAATAATAATAATAATAATAATAATAATAATAACAATTCAAACATATGGAAGATAAATGACGTGCAATAATAATTCAATAAATAAATTAGTGAAGCTTACTTTTAATATCACGGACTTGTATCTCGAATAATGATCCCTTGTGAGAAACGTGAAAAACGCGACTGCTTCGTTGGCGGTTAATTAAATCCTTTCGCGCCTCGGTCGCTCATAATTGGTTTCGGATCGCGTGTTAATTGCAACGAGGTAATACCCGATGCTTAATGAGCATCGCACATGTCGGACATGCATCTTGCACTTCGTATATGTGAATGGGAGAATTTAAAAGGCCCCGCAATAAGCACGTATATGAAAGATCTATCCTGCCTGCTTTATTCGATGAGTTTCAAGAACGCTTCTCGGATAAAGAAAATTATTTGATAGAATAATCGTAGATAGTGGAATTTTTTTTTCCATTTTTGAAAGCGATAATTAATGTTCTATTAATTTAAAACGTATTCGCATTTAAAGTCGACGAACTTAATTATCGGATTTATTGTATTTGTTGTCGAGAGGAGAGAAGAGAAACATTACGAGTTCTCTCCGCTTTTTAAATTCACGGCAGACAATTATTATCATCGAAATCTGTCGACGATTTCGGAGACTCCGATAAGATTGTTTGAAATCAGCCTGAAATTTCTGTATTTTCCTGTCTTTTTATCGCTCTTTTCGGAGACTAGGAGATAATTATTATTTTGTTTGTGTTCTTATCGAAGAGGGGTCCTGATAATAAAATCGCGTTTCGAGAGAAATAAACGCGCCAGAAGAAGAGAAAGCGAATTCGCGCGCGGATTTTCTTCGGACTCGAAAGTCGCCGGATGACAAAGTTAATGCCTTTCATTTGTCGACACGACGTGACATTATCTTTCCAATTTTCCGATGTATTTTTTGTTCGGTTTATCGCGCCCCGACACCGTCACATATTTTATCGCGTTGTCAATACTCGATGATGATAAGTAACGATCACACGTTAATAGGGTCGAGATTCTCGTCGTTAAAAATTGTTTTCGACTTTTGAAAGCATTTTTCTAAAATTAATTTTATTCTTTCAATCTAAAATTATTCTTATTCCAATTTAATTTTTTAAATGTGAAAACTTTCACACATGCATGTTTAAAATTCTCTATATTTGAATTCTTTGTATATGAATTTTGCTTTTTTTTTCTCTTTTTAGCTTCTTTTATTATGCATAATTTGAGAAAATTTGTGCTTTTAATATTGCCGTGTTTGACGAATTCTAAAATATCTATGTAATAAATTAAATGTAGTATCGCTAAAAGAATGAATTTAATACGATTAATCTCTGAACATGTATATAAATACAAAGTGTTATCTTATTCTAGATTTTTTTCTGTTGAACTCTTTAATCGCATTATAATAAATGATGAAATTCTCGAGATCAATCGAGCGAGAAGAAAAGTAGCCATTTTCTCGTACTTTAAACTCCGTAATCTGTTCGTCAAATATTTAATCACAAGATCCTCAAGTCAGCGATTGGCCCATTTAATCATTGTGTGCATGATATTCGATTGCAGTTTATATAATTCGAATTGCAATCCAAAGCAATAGAAGGTGATTAATATATGATGGTCTCTTACATTGCGTAAAATATAACAGATGATTGAAAAAGGATCATGTTTATATTTGTATTTTAAAAAACAAATTTGAAAGTTGATCTTGAATTATTTTGAATTATTATTTTTGAAGGGAAAAAATTCGAGAAATGCGCCTGTGCTTTTCGTATCTTATCTCTATTCTCTTTTTGAAAAATTTTTTATCATTATATTGATATTAATAAAATATTAAAATATAATTAATATAATATTAA